GTGCGTGTGGTGTATGTGATGGTGTGTATGTGTATGATGTGTGACTGATAGTCTGTGTGGGGTGTGCCTATGTGATAGTGTGATGTGTGTGGTGATTGTGTATGCGTGCGTGTGGTGTGTGCCTGTGTGATAAAGTGCGTGTGGTGTGTGTGATGGTGTGCTTATGTGTATGATGTGTGACTGTGATAGTCTGTGATGTGTGGTGTGCGTGCCTGTGTGATAGTGTGTATGATGGTGTGTGCATGCGTGTGCGGTATGTGTGCCTGTGAGTGGTGTGGACGTGAGCACAGTGGTTGTGTGAGATGTGGGAGGCAGTGCAGACAGGAGGAGGTGAGTGAGGACGGAACAGTGGAGCTCCCCACAGGAGCACGGGGATGGGATGGGAGGAAGGGGGTGGAAGGGAGATGGGAAGGGGAGGAGGCAGAGGGGCTCCGCCAAGGAAGCCTCTTGGCTTGGTGGGGTGTGAGGCAGGACCTCGTGGGACAGGGCTGGGATGCTTCAGTCCCCTGGCGGTGGTTTCCGGGACCGTGGTTTCAGGTGTGTGCTGTGTGACCACAGGGCAGGTGCCTCCAGCAGGGCCGTGCTCCGCCTGTATCTGAGCTGCCCCACAGGATGCCAGCTGTGTGGTGGGCACGCGCACACCCACCCACTCCACTCACCACCTCCTGGCAGAGGAAGGGTCCCTCCAAGGCTGGGCTTTCCTGAGAAGCTGGTAGGAATCACGAATGCGCTTGAAAATAATAAAACCTGTCTTCTGGGAACTGCTCCCCGCTCAGCCTCCCTGGCAGCTCTCCTTCAAGCATTTGCAAGAAGAGCCGGATCCCCTAGAGGGCAACAGAGGACTGAGTGCCCCAGGAGAGGGCGGCCAGGTGATCCGAGACAGCCTCCCCACGGCCCCCGCCCCTTAGACACGGTGCCTGCTGTGGGCAGGGGACACGGCCAGGGTCTCACTTAGAAGGATATCAGTGCCCCTGGACCAGCCCTCCTCGATGTGACAGATGAGGAAACGAGGTGCCCGCGTTGCGAGTCCCGTCTAGCCCAGCAAATTAGGAACCTGCGTCTCCAGAGCTCCTTCGTCCCGGGGTCTCCCTCCAATGTGAGGGCATGGCAGGCCCTTGGCACTGATGGCCTCCCCACCGCCAAATCCCTTTGCCTTGCTTGTGCCTCAGAGCCCACCCGGAACGGGCTCTGGCTAAGTGGTGTCCCAAGAAACACAGGCAGGTGGCGCCCGAGCGACCACGAGGCTCCATCTCTCATCGCGCCCCCACCGCAGCCCTTCCACCCTCTGGCCGCTGCCCGTCCACGGAGCCCCAGACCCCGCGCTCTTCAGCCACAACAAGGCAAGGCCCAGCCGCGAGGCGTGGAGGAGAAGGGAATCCGGGGCTGCTGGCAGCCAGGCCTGCTCTTCACCGCCAGCAGGGCAGCAAACCCCGAGGTTCTAATTAGCGGCTTCCTGGAACATCCAAAAGTGCCCTGGGTGAAGGAATACCTTCTCCAAAATTGGCCCCCTGCCGGGTGTCGCAGTAAAGAGCGGGGATTACGCGCCTCCGAGGGAGCCCCTGCCCGGCTCACCCTGGCCGCCCGGCCTAGCCTCCCTGCTCTCTCATCCCCAGGCCAGCCAGCTCCCTCCTCCTCCGTGCTGGTCACACCTTCTCCTGGGCGGGCCCAAGTCGTGGGTGGGAGGAACACCCCCTTACACACCTTCTCCAGAGGGGCCAGGGCCCAACACATGACTCATGGGAGATCTCCACAGAGGCCAGCAAAAGCCCACTGGAGGCCGTCGCCCAGCTTCAGAGAACCTGTGGGCCTGGCATTGTCCTCAGGCCCCCGCCAGCCCCTGTGGGGCCACTCCATCCTCTCTGACCAAGCACGCTCCCGAGGCCCTGTCCCCCAACCTGCAGGGCTCCTCTGGGCCCCTCCGCAGAAGCCCGTCAATCCCTTTCCAGACACTGTTCTTGGCCTGCCTCCTGCCTGAACACCACAGGCTGAGCTGGGCGGTGGGGAGGACTCCCCCAATTTTTTTTTTTTTTTTTTTTTTGGAGAACAGATCTCACTCTGTTGCCAGTGCTGGTGTGCAATGGCACAATCCCAGCTCACCGCACCCTCCGCCTCCCGGGTTCAAACAATTCTCTGCTCGCCTCCCTGGGATTATAGGTGCACATCACCACACCAGCTCTTTTTTTTTTGAGATAAGAGTCTCGCTCTGTCACCCAAGCTGGAGTCCAGTGGCCGGATCTCAGCTCACTGCAAGCTCCGCCCCCCGGGTTCAGCCATTCTCCTGCCTCAGCCTCCCGAGCAGCTAGGACGTACAGGCGCCCGCCACCTCACCCGGTATTTTTTGTATTTTTTAAGTAGAGACGGGGTTTCACCGTGTTCGCCAGGATGGTCTCGATCTCCTGACCTCGTGATCTGCCCGCCTCGGCCTCCCAAAGTGCTGGGATTACAGGCTTGAGCCACCGTGCCCGGCCAAATTTTTTTGTATTTTAAGAGAGATGGGGTTTCACTATGTTTGCCAGACTGGTCCCGAACTCCTGACCTCGTGATCCGCACGCCTCAGCCACCCCGAGTGTCCCCAACTTTTAAGTGACCACAAGAGTCCCAGGAACAGTCCTGGAACCAGAAACACCCCACCACCGCCAGGGCTGAGGAATACCAGGGACAGTGTCAGTCCTGGCTGTGGAGTCACAGGCTTGGAGCGTGGTGAGGAAGACATGAAAGCTAGCAGTGCCAGAGCCCCAGCCCCCATCATCTCCCTGGGGGGATCCCACTGTGTTCCCCCCGCCACCTGCTCTTCCTCCAGCCTTGTCTTGCAGCAGAAATGTAGACAGCCAGGTGAGGCGCCTGGGCCGTGGGTGTCGGGGCAGGAACCGGGTAACCACCATGAGGTCTAGAAAGATGCGCACATGGGGTTGGCCCGCAGCTCTCTGCAGGAATTGTGATAGGAAGGAAAAGCTCAAGGAAGGCCTCTGTGGAAGGAGTGGGAGGCCGGGCCACTGCCTGGCTGGGTGACTGGGCAAGTCACCTCACCCAGCCAGGCCCGCGTCACTGCCTATGACGTGAACCTGAAGTCCACCGTCCCTGCCACCTGCTTCACTGATAACCCATGAGGGAGTCGGGTGTCGGGCAAAGGGAAGGCTGAGTCAGGGAACAGAGGGTCTGATGACACCTAAGGCTGTGCCCCACCCTTCCCTGACAAAGAGACATGCCCCCCCATTGCCCAGGGCTGCTACAACAGGGCAGGACACAGGGAAGGCCTAAGGGGCTCCTTCGAGTCTATGAAAGGAGGGTGTCAGGTTCAGCAGACAGAGAGAGGCTGCCTGAAGAGAAGGGGTGAGGGGCCAGGAGAGCTCTGAGGGGCCAAAGTGCCCCCTGGAACATTGTTGGGGAGGCAGAATTCACTGGAAGGAACAAAGTCAGAGGACAAGAAAACCAGGTTGAGTCAACTAGAATCCGGTGGAACACAGGATCGGCTTTGGGCAGTTTTACAAGCCCCATTTTCATGATTTCACTTAAAATCATAAAAAACAGAGCAGAGGCTGCGAGTCGGTGCCTTCCTCCCTGCTCCTGGCTGCCTCTCCACAGTGTAGCTGCTGAAAGGGTTATTCAAGATGAAAACCAAACCAAACAGGCGATCGAAACAATCCATCCCCCAAGCAAGCCCACCTAATCCTCTCCCTTCCCCTCCTACTTCCTTGCTGAGGTTACCCCCAGGCCTTGTGCAGGGAAGGATGGAGAGAGGAGAAGGCGTTCCCTCTGCAACCCGTAACTCCTCCGGGTCCGCTGCTTTGCTAGGACGACAGTGCTGTGGTGCCCAGGTCCGAAGCCTAGGAAAGCTGCAAAAGCCTTGGGCCTCCTGCTCAAGTCCTCATCTCACAGGAGGGCTGCCAAGGGGAACGGGGAGAGGCGTGCCCCATGGCCCACCTCACAGTCCCCAGGGGACACTGGAGACCCAGGGCTGGGAGGATGCAGTCCCTGCAGCTCAGGGGCCGCATGTGGTGTTTTTTTTTTGGTTTTTTTTTTGAGATGGAGTCTCACTCTGTCGCCCAGGAGGCCAGGCAAGAGTGCAGTGGTGTGATCTCAGCTCACTGCAACCTCTGCTTCCCAGGTTCAAGGGATTATCCTGCCTCAGCCTCCTGAGTAGCTGAGATTAGAGGTGCGCGCCACCACACCCAGCTAATTTTTATATTTTTAGTAGAGACGACGTTTCACCATGTTGCCCAGGCTGGTCTCACATACTCACCCTCAGGTGATCTGCCCACCTCGGCCTCCCAAAGTGCTGGGATTACAGGCGTGAGTCACCACACCGAGCCCTGAGCTCCTTTCAAAACAACCCGGGGCCCTACTTTCCTGGCGTGGAGACAGCACTTCCTTTAACGTAATGTAACTGCAAGTTTGATTTCTAAATCCAGGTTTGTTTTCCCGTGGAAGTCGGACATTTCTGCACTGCCCTGGGATGTATACAGCTTAACGCAGCTTTTAGGAACTGACTGTGGACCCCTGGAGGGCCTTGAACGTCGATGTCCATGGCCTGGCAGCTTCTGAATTGATGCATAATACGTGCCAGCTGCTCTTCTTCACCCTGTGGGAGGCCAGACGGCCTGTGGGGAGCGGGGCTGGATGACTGGGGTCTTACCCTGGCTTCGGTGTGTGTGTCGGGAGTGTGCGTATGAACTCTCACATACACACAATACAATACATGAGAACATTTTAGAAGTTCTCTAGATTCCTTTGGATACCTTTGGGCCTCGTCATTTATTTCACTATGCTAAAAGGTCCTGACCACTGTCCTTATTAAAGAAGAAAGCCTTGTTTTCAAGCAGCTGGCCCAGTTAGGATCTCCATGAGGCCCGAGTCCCAGGGCAGGGCCGCCGGACCCTCACGGGGTCAGGGAAGGGACGGAGCTCGGATTCTGGACGGTGAGGCCGCCTCCACAGGTGGCCTTCGTTTCTCACCCCACTTCTTCCACCGCCATTTCCTCCTTCCTCCCCTTTCCCCACCAGCTTCCTTTGGATGCAGAGGTCACTGTTCTCTGGGAGCCTGTTAGGCACCTGTGCTGTGTCCTCCCAGTATACACTCAGCAAATCGCATCATCTCCATCTTATGGATGAGGAAACTGAGGCTCAGGTAAGCAACGGGACTCATCCCAGATCCCCTGAGAAGCATATGATTAGGACAGTCTTGGGAAGCTGAGCAGAACAAAGAGGTGGTTCTGCCTTCCCAGAGGTGGCCAGGAGGTACTGGGGCTGGCAGGGCCACTGAGGGGATGGGGGCTTCACCTCCTGGGGCCAGCTACAGATGGGACAGGAGAGATGGGCTACGTCCAGCTGGAGTGAGGAGGAGGACGGAAGGAGGTGGGCAGATATGGATTGTTGTGGGCCCAGAAGAGGGTGACCAGCCCCAGGCTCAGTCCCCGGCCCACCAGGTCAAGGAGAGGCCCCATGCTAGAAAGAACCACGCCTGGATTCAGGAGCCCTGGGCCTGGGGCTCCTTCCTGGCCTACGGTGGCGGGGCCTCAGCCACCCACATGGATGCCCTGGCTGTATGCAGGGGCCTTGCCAGTGGTCAGCTGGACAATACTTTTGGGGTTTCTGTTTACATCCCCCATTCTGAAGAGCCCCCGCCACCAGCCCCAGCTCTTTACACACACCTGCCTGCTGGCCACTGCAGGCTCCCAGACCGTCTCCGCCCTCCACAACCACCGTGAGGGCAAGCGGACAGGACACACCCTTCCTGGGAAGGGAGCCTGAGGTCACAGGTGACAGCAATGTCTGCAGGCCCCCAGGACTGTCTGCCCCATAGGTCCGGGCACTGGAACTTCCGGTGCATAGGAATGAGGGCTGAGCCGTTTACAGCGCAGACTTCCGGCCCCGCTACAGCCTGGCGGAACATTTGAAATGCACCGGGGAGCTCCCAGCCCCTGTCTGATGCCCAGAGAGCTTCCCTTTGAGCAACGTGGACTCGGTTCAAATCCCCGCAGTATCATGCAGACACAGAAGACCACAGAGGTACAGCCACTGTTCTGTGGCCACACAGCCCATCAGGGGCAGAGTCAAGGCCAGAGGCCAGCCTGGGTGTCCCAGGCTCGGGGCGATGAAGGGGAGAAACCAGGCCGCTGGGCTCCTCATGCCCCCTGTCTCTGAGGGCCAAGGAGGAAAAGATGAGAAATTCCCAGGATGAGAAATTCCCAGGCATGGGATCCGTCCGGCTAGTTCCCATCGGTCACAGGGTCTCCACGACCAACACCCACCGGGAGCCAGCTGCACCCCAGCCCCAGCGCCTCGCTGGTCACGTGGCCCCCTCCCATCCTCCCCACACAAGGGCACTCTCACTCACCATAGTCCTTCTTGCAGTACTTTTTCATGTTAATCTTCAGCTTCCCCTTGGAGGCCTTGCAGTAGGAATCGCAGTCTGCAGTGGGGTGGGGGGAGCACAGACAAAAACTAATTAGGCTGGCGATGAATAGGCTGGCGGGCAGAGTAGGAGGCCGCCTCCCTAAATAGCCAGAGGCCTGTGATACCCATGGGCCAGGCCAGGCGGGCAGGCGGCCATTCAGGGCAGGACTGGGCTTCTAAAGAGGCCTGAGGGACAAAGGGCCCCCATCTGACCCACCCACCCCCTCCCTGGCCTGACGAATCCTTTAGCCACTGCCTGCAGCCGCCCTGGCCTCCGTGAGAGACTCGGGGGGCTCCTGCCACCCAGGGCTTCTGAGCACCACACGGAATCTCCCTATTCTTAAGACGCAACTGGAGCCTGATTAAAGCCGATAGAGGCCTCATTGTCACCCCGCGCCCCGGGTCTGTGTCAGGCGCTGGCTTTCATGGCGCAGAGCCTCTGGCTGGGGTCAGGTCTCAACAAAAGAGGTCACGGGGGAAATTAGCAGCCCATGAAGCATTAGAAAACCCCTTTGGTGTCCACTCTACTGGAGTGTGCAAATAAAATGCCTGACGAAGACGAGTTCAGTTCTAATGGGCCCTACTGCTGAGAGGCAGGGCTGCTGGGCCTGCGTCCACTGGGTATCACTGGGCGATTCCAGGGCCCAGCCGAGAGCCAAGCAGGATGTGCGGGGCACCAGGGCCTGCCAGCCCTTGGGCCTGTGTCAACCCCCAAATGCAACTTCCTCACTTCAGCCCAACCATGGCCTTTCCCTGCCAGCCATCGCTGCTCTTTGAACAAGGAGACACAATTCCTTCGCTAAGTCTGTGTGTGACAGCTTCACGCGACGGCACAGCCCATCGCAGAGGCCCAGCAAATCTCCCCCGGTCTGCCCTGCCGCCAGCACTCAGCAGGCAGGATCTCCTTCTCTCACAACCCTTCTTTGATGTGTAGGTATCATTCCCATTCTGCAGACAAGAAAACTGAGGCTCAAAGAGGGTAAGCCACCTGCCCAGTGCACGCCGGGTAGCTACTGTCAAGGCTGGCCTGAGATGCCGAGATCCCTGCACTCTTGGTTAGGCGATACTCTGACAGATTCCCCCCTCAGTGTGAGCGGAGGTGAGCTCAGAGCCAGGGATGAGGAATGCCCTGTATTTTAGCAATTCCCAGACTGCCGAGGGGAAGAGCAGCCAGGCTGGCCATGGGGAAGGAGTGCGGAGCTGGAGGGGGCCCAGCCTGGTCTAGAAGCAGTGGTGGCATGGGTTGGTAAGAAGTCGGCTGCGTGTGTGTCCCGGTGAGGGAGCAGGAAAAGAGGACCAGGCGGGGAAAGATTCAACATACACGTGCACACACGGGCGGCTGCTCCAGGGGTAGGTGGCAGCCTCTGTCCCGCAGACGGAAAACCAAGGTCAAGGTAGGCGAGGAGTGATTTGTGTGGGAGCACAGGGGGAAGCACAAGCAGGAAAGCTGAGGCCTCCTGGTGCCGTCTGCACCCCAACCCACGGCTTAGATCTACAGGGAGTGTTCAGGCAGCCCTCTCCAGAGCTGGCCTCTAGCGGCTGCTGCCTCCATCAAGGTCCTGGGATACATTGACTGATGCCTCAATGAAGATCAATGCAGCTCCATCCCACTACCTTGGGGGCCATGGGTGTGGCAGCCTCCCCCTGCTTCCTGTGCCAGCCTCTTGGGGCCCCCAGTTAGGAACCAGTCTGAGGAAATGGGAGAAAAACAGCCCTGCTTCCTGCTGCCTATGATCTAAGCCCTCGGAGCCCCTTCATGACACCCCGGCTCCACGACGCTGGTGGCCACAGTACCCATCCCTTCTGCCATCTGGATGGCTGCTTGGTTGCTGGAGTAGGGATTTCTTGAGGTGCAGGGACTGGGCTGTCCAGAGAGAGTGGCCCTCACTCTACTGTGGCCAAGCCTGAGAGGTTGGATGAAAGTGACGGCAGCCCAAACACAGAAGTCAACGGCGCCATCAGCACCACCGGCACCGTGGCCGCACTTCCCTGTGGGGAATAGCCGCTCTGGGCCACCTCTTTGCCAGCTCAGGGACAGATGACGCTCACAATGAAGCCACTACTGGGGCTGAACCCAGGTTGTGCGTAAGTCCTGGAGATTCTGCGTGAGCTGGCTGAAATCCCTTCCTGCTTTCTCCACTTAGGGAAGCGCATTGGAATGCAAGCGGTGCCCAGTGACGTTCTCGCAGGGGCGGCCTTGAATCCATTCTCCTTGCCTTGTTATTTGATTGTATTATTATTATTTTACAAAAGCCATCATCCCACACCAGCGCTTTCATTTCCAGTCAGGAGGAAATCCCTTTCACCTGCCTCCTCGCCATGGGCCAAGGCGCACCCCTTCATCTCAGCCTCGTAGATAGCACAGGCTGGGGCAGAGAGGGGGCCTTTGAGCACGTCAGCTCTTCCCAGCCTCAGAGATGTTTTGAGGGAGGGACTGCAGTGCCTGGCTTAGAACTGAGAGCGCAGAAAGGTTCCAGAGCAGGCTGCCCAAGGTAAGCTCCGCCCCAGGGGGGCAGCAGGGAGGCAGATGAGTCCCGGGACAGCCTGCCCCTGTCCCTTCGGCGTCACTGTCCCAGCCTAGAAACCTCTACAGCTCTTCTCTCCAGAGCCAAGTGTCTACCTGGGACAGAGACTGCCCTAGAATGTGTGGCATCCATCACTGCCTAATTAGATTGCACTCCCAGGCCCCGCTTGACAAATCACAGTCATCACCCATGAATATCCAGTGTGTACCTCACTAATGGCAGCGACTCCCACCATACTAATGAGGCGCTGGGCACTGTTCTCACGGTTGATGAACTCGTCTTGGCCCTTCAATCAGGCCCCATTTTCTAGATGAGAATCTAAGGCACGGAGATACTGGTGACTCACCAGCTCAAGGTCGTGTGCCCAGTGAGGCAGCCTGGCGGCCGAGCCCCTGCTGTTAACCTCCTGCTCCCAGCCCTGGCTATGCAGCGGCATCACGATGCCTGGGTCCTGCTCCCAGGACTTTCTGATTTCTTTGGTTAAGGGAGTGACCTGAGTGTCTGAATTTTTTTAATGGTCCCCAGATGGTTCTAAAGCACAGCCAGGGTTAGAACCACAGTCTGAACCAATTGTGAGAGATGGGGACAGTCTCTGCATCCATGATTAGCACTGAGCACCCAGTGTGGCAGAGGAAAGATCCAGATAAGGTGGCTGCTGAGTCCAACTGGAGAGTGCTCAGAGAGAGAACCTCAGGCTGCTTGCCCTAACAGAAAATGACATCAGCCTCTGAGCATTTGGACTTGCATTTGCTTTTTTTTTTTTTTTTTTTTTTGGTGTCTTTCCTTTCTGTCAGCTGGAAATTCTTGTCAGATCAGTGTCAGATCAGTGTGCTTGTTGCAAAATGTCCCGTACGCCCTTCAGATTTGCTAGGAAAACAAAGACCAAGCTTGCTAGAATTGTATGTAAAATACAGGTAACTAGGCTTGGAAGGAGAGGCTGAAACATTCTCCCTTGGGTAAAGTGAATAACCTTCAGAACATGGACACTGGGACAGCTATTTGGCTGCTTGTGGACTCTTTGTTTAGGTTGTATTCCAGATAGCTGAGGTCACTGGACAATGGCCCCCGAACAAGGAAAATGTTACTGTACGTTCTCTCTTTATGGTACACACAAAGCTACAGAGAGTGCTTCACGACGGACAAACCACAGCTTTAAAATGCAGCTTTGACTCCTTCTTCAAACTGGCATCTACTTGGCAGCCTCTCGTGTAGCTCCTCCTTGTTTTGTTCCAAAATAGCCATAGAGACAATGAGAAAACCTGAACATTCACACTAGTGCCAAAAAACGAAACTGATGATGACCCAACGCTGGGATCTGGGAGCAATCTCTAGTAATTAAAGGCAGATGGTGGTGGAATAAGCAAAACCTGTTCAGGTTTTACCTCAGGACACAGCTCTTTGTCTGATGAGCAGAAAGGTCCTGAAAAAAGGGAGGAGGACAGAGTGACAGGGACCAGAGAACAAATAAGCAGGAAGTGAGTGGGGGCAGTGGGGACAATCCCTCCTCCAGGGACGGGAAGTTTCAGAACTGGTAGGGACCAGAAGGACGGTAGTACAGCAAAGATCTCACCTTGTATTTCTTTTTCTTTTTTTTTTTTTTTTGAGATGGAGTCACGCCCTGTCTGTCATCCAGGCTGGAGTGCAATGGCCTGATCTCGGCTCACTGCAACCTTCGCCTCCTGGACTCAAGCAATTCTCCTGCCCCAGCTTCCCAAGTACCTAGTACTACAGGCACACGCCAGCTCGTCCACCTAATTTTTTGTATCTTTAGCAGAGACAGGGTTTCACCAAGTTGGCCAGGCTGGTCTCGAACTCCTGACCTCATGATCTGCCTGCCTCAACTTCCCAAAGTGCTGGGATTACAGGCGTGAACCACTGTGCCCAGCCTCACCTTGTATTTCTCTCTAAATCATTGCAGAGAATCAGAAAATCAGGCAATGCAGAGAAGAGAAGAGCACTACCTCCACAGAGCAGAAGGAAATCCAGGGAAAGGCTGGTAGGAACAAGGAGCTGAAGACGGAGCTCTGCACCTTCCTGGCCATCCTCCTTAAATCTGAGATGGGAATCCAGCCATTGCGCCAGTACGTGGATCTGCAATTTTCTTCTTCTTCAAAGGACCAAACAGTGAATACTTTAGGCATAGAGGACCATACAGTTGCTGTTGCAACTATTCATCTTTGTCATTTTATGTATGGCTTAAAAACAGCCATACACAATAGGTGTACATGCCAAATGGGCATGGCAGACTAAAAAGAGTAAAATGACACAGCCTCTATGAACTAGCACAAGAAAGGCAGTAAGGGAGATGAAGCCGAGCTGAAACAAAAAGGATGATGTGTGAAAGAAAAAGTTGGAAAAAGATGAAATCCCTGTAGCACAATTAAAATCCCCTTCAGAAGGGCTGGGTGTGGTCTCACACCTGTAATCCCAGCACGTGGGAGGCCGAGGCAGGAAGATCACTTGAGGCTAGGAGTTCAAGACCAGCCTGGGCAATGCGGCAAAATCCCATCTCTTAAAAAAATGAAATAAGACAAACAAAAAGACCATAGCCAGGTGTGATGGCCACTCGGGAGGTTGAGGTGGGAGTATCGCTTGAGCCCAGGAGTTTGAGGTTATAGTGAGCTGTGACTGTACCATTGCACTTTAGCCTGAGTGACACAGCAAAACTCTGTCTCTAAAAATAAGTAAGTAATCCACTTTGAAAGCAGCAAAGATTCATGATACTGTAGAAAACTGATCCAGAAACACGGAGAATTGGAGAAACTCTTACAAAATTTAGAGGAAAAAGACAATGTACATATATAGAAGGAAAGAGCTCACTGAAGTTTTGCAAAAAATCAACGAAAGGGGACCAACATCCAGACACAGCTCTGCAAAACATATGAAATACCAGGATAAGAAAAGAATAAATACAGATTAAAAAACAAGAACAACGAGCCAGTGAGATGATCATGGAGCAATGTCTATAAGGCCTTAAGGGGAAAAATTTGTGACTAGGAATTTTATACCCAGCTAGACTGTCTTGTATGTATGCAGGCCACAATAAAGAAAAGACATTCTCAAATGCGCAAGGGCTCAGAAAATGTTCCAATTATGCATCCTTTTTGAAATAAATACTTGAGAATGTTTTCCAACCAACTATGAAATGAATCAAAAGTAAGAGTTTACAGGGGAAAGTGATGGCATAAACACAAGGTGATGTGATTGACATCTCTGTGCTTACTGGTGATGAAAACTGAAACCAGTCAACATAGAGATGCCAAATTTGATTCTAAAACATAACGCAAATATCAAAATAGTTTTTAACTGTTTGAAAGGGAACATCAGTGTCTCTCCTCCTCCGTCCCCGTGTGTGTGTGTGTGTGTATCTATCTAGTTATGTATATATAAAATATTTAAATTTAATTTGAAACTTCAGATCATATTAAAAACTATGAAGTAGAATGAGGTGGGGAATAAAACCCTTTGTCTTAAGTATAGAGAATGTAAAAGATGCTATTTCATGCTCAGTTCTGACAAGTAAGAGCTATTAGATCAACTCATGTTTCTGAAACACCCAAAGATAATCACAGAACTCTGGCAAAAACAGAATATAAATTATAGCTAATATGCCAAAAGATAAAACAGAAAAAATGAAAAATATAAAAAGCAATTATGATAAATTAAGAGCACAGAAGAGCAACCACTAAAGACAAAACAATGAAGGTAAATGGATCCAACTGCTCTACTGAAACACTGAATTTAAAACAGAGTGCTATTTAGGGGAATATAACCAAATAAAATGATTTTTTTTTTTGTGAGATGGAGTCTCGCTGCGTTGCCCAGGCTGGAGTGCAGTGGCGTGATCTCAGCTCACTATGGCCTCCGCCTCCCAGGTTCAAGCGATTCTCCTGCCTCAGCCTCCTGAGTAGCTGGGACTACAGGTGCCCGCCACCACACCCAGCTAATTTTTTGTATTTTTAGGAGAGACAGAGTTTCACCGTGTTAGCCAGGATGGTCTTGATCTCCTGACCTTGTGATTCACCTGCTTCAGCCTCCCAAAGTACTGGGATTACAGGTGTGAGCCACCGTGCCCGGCCTAAAGTGTTTGTTTGTTTGTTATGAGACGGAGTCTTACACTGTCACCCAGGCTGGAGTGCAGTGGCCGGATCTCAGCTCACTGCAAACTCCACCTCCCAGGTTCACACCATTCTCCTGCTTCAGCCTCCTGAGTAGCTGGGACTACAGGCGCCTGCCACCACGCCCGGCTAATTTTTTGTATTTTTAGTAGAGACAGGGTTTCACCGTGTTAGCCAGGATGGTCTCGATCTCCTGACCTCATGATCTGCCTGTCTCAGCCTCCCAAAGTGCTGGGATTACAGGTGTGAGCCACCGCACCTGGCCTAAAGTGGTTTTTTTTTTGTTTGTTTTTTTTTAAGAGCTCACAACTTAAGCAGTAGCAAAGGTGTATCAGCAAATGAAAACAAAAAAATGAACCAAGAGTGGAAATGTTAGTATCAGCAAAGTAGAATTCAGGGCAGGCAATTATAGTGGAAAAAAGAACATCACCTAGTAATTAAACAGGGATTTTTTGATGTAGAATAACATCTCATTGAAATATATTAAGCAAAAATCAATAGTAATACAAAATGAAACGGACAGAAATCCTTCGTGAAAGAATGCTAAATTAATCCCAAGAAGCCAAAACTATACAAGCCACATTTCCTGACCACAATGATATTATTTGTTATTAAAGAATAATGAAAATAAATGAAATGCATTCAATTCTAGGAGTTAGAAAATGAGCAAAACAAAACCCAAAGAAAGCAAAAGGAACGAATTAATAACAACAGAAGTAGAAATTAATATAGTAGAATACAGGAAAAAAATATATAAATACATCCAAGAACCGATTCTTTGAAAAGTCCAAATACAAGCTTAAAAAAAAAAAAAGATGAAACACTGTCATGTTTAACTGCAAATAAAATAAAAAGAAAACAGAACTTTAAGAAGTAACAAGAAATAAATTACAAGGCTAGTATATACAACTCTAGCCTAGAAATCTTGGAAATCTGAATGAAATGCAAAATGTTAGGAAAACATAAAGGACCAAGTTAAACTGAGTAAGAGACATGGAATCTGAATGGATAAATAGTCATAAGAGATGTCTGGATAGAGATGGTTTCAGAGGTAGGTCCATGTAAACATTGAAAGGACACATCAATTTCACGCTATTTGATCTGTTCAGAAACACAGAAAAAGATGGAAAGCGATTAAGACGAAACAGATGACAGTGCTAAAAACTGACCATTTTGCAACTTAAGAAAAGCAGTTTTGTATGATTCAGCCTTAATATAAAAGCTGGCATAACCATATATACACACAGACTATATGGGCCAATTGATTAGCCTCATTTACCAGGAGACCCAATGTTTTATGCCCCCCAGTTTCCCATCCTACCCCCACCCAGCCACTGGGACCCCATCCACCCTGCCAGGACACACTCAGGAGTAACAAGTAAATAGTAGACAGGATGCCCTGCTGCCCTGCTGTCTCAGGGGAGCCTCTGGAGCTAGGATTGAGGGCATAGGTAAATACTGGCAGCTCTGCAGGGGGCCCTGCACCAGGCCTGCTCTTCTATCTCACTCTACTCCCCAAAAAGAGACAGAAGCTGCCAGGGCTGGACACAGGCACCGCCTGGCCCCCTACTCGGACGTGCTCTGTCCCAGGGAGAGCCACTGAGACCTGGAGGTCGCCATCTGCCTGGCTCGCAGCAGGCCCATCCTGGCTAGCTGGCATCCTGGCTCCTCCTGGGGGCAGCCTACCCTCCCTTTCATTCCTCCCACCTGCTCCCCTGACCCACCCCCAGCCAAGAGCCAAGAGGTGGCCTGCAGGCCCAATCCCAGCGGCCGAGACCGTCCTGCCTCTTCCTCCACCTTGGGTAGCTGGCCCCTCTGGTCTGCCTCCTGTGCCCCAGGTGCCAAAATCCTGCTGGGCCAGCCTGCTCGCCGGATCGAGGCTCATCTCTGAGCATATGGCAGGCAGAGCCCGGCGGCCATGGTTGAAGCCAGGGGCACCGCATCTGGCACCTCCCCTTGGAGCAGGGCGGGGAGCTGGCAGAGGTCTCGCTCTCAGCAGCCCTGGCCCACTCGCTCGCAACACCTCTGCCGCTCTGCTTCTGGGCTGTCGGGCTTGGGAAGGTGGGGCAGGGGGTGTAATGAGCGAGGGACACCCAGCCAACATGGTCCGTCCTCCCAGGGCAGAGAAACCTGGAAGGGTTGGGTAATTTGCAGACGCCAAGGGCTGGGCATAGGAGAGGAGCCTCTGGTTCTCCCTGGCCCAGGGTGAAAGAGTTTAAGGGGAGAAGAGCTGGGGCGAACAAGGGCGCCCAGCCGGCTCTGTCCATTTTGGCTGGGCCATTCTGCCCACCAGCAGGTGACAAAAGGTGAATGCGGCCAGTCTGCCCAGAAAGTATGTTTGGTGCTGCCTGACCTGGAACCAAAAAGCTGCACGGAACCCCCGCGGCCAGAGAGTCCAGGTTTCCATGTATTCGGTTTTCAAGGTGCTGCAGGTGTCCGTGGGTTTCATAAGGGGCCATCATGGGTGAGGCATGATGAGAATGGAGGAC